CCTGACAGGGCCTGGCTGGGACCTGAATGCTGGAACAGCTCCCTTCAGAAGAAAACACTGGGAAGAGACACAGGCCCAGGAAGCCTGAAGCTGGAGCTGGTTCCCTCAGCTTTCACAGCCACTCAAACCAAGACTGGTAACACACAGTGTTTCAGGTGCTCTGCTTGTCACAGACACACAGAAAAAAACCTTTTGTGACAGAAACTACAATGACACCAGTTTCATGTTGCTATCCCAAAGCTCCTTCCCCAGCTTCAGCCTCCAACCTCTCTTTCCAGAGCTCAGCAGCCAAATTCCCTTCATTAGGGCAAACTCGGTGACACAACAGGAGCCACACAGCCACCTAAACCAAGCCCACACCTCTGTGCAGGCTGCATCCTTCCACCACCAGCCTGTTTGGGCTGTTCAACCCTGCTGCCAGGAAAAGCCCTTCCCTTCTCCAGCTGCAACAGAACCAAGACTGGAACAGGATTGTTTCAAGGCCACTACTGACCAGTCTCTGGCTGTAACGGATCCGTTCTTCCTCGGGCTCCATCTCCGACTCCTCGGAAGAGAGCGAGAAGGACACGCCAGGACTGCTGTCGTCGTCCTCTTCCTCCTTGGAAGCCAGAGGCAAACAGTGAGAAAGGGCACAGGGACACCCACACCCCTCACTTCCCTTCTCCTCTTGGGGCCAACCCCACCCCGCTCTGGGGGCTGAGAGAACCCAGTGGGTGAGCCCACCCCGACTTTTAAGGCTCCTATTTTAACTTAGAATAAATGTCAGGATAAATGACCTCAGCAGCTCTACTGTAACACAACAGGAGCTGCAGGTCTCCCACCCTGGCTCCACACTACCACCAGCAGCTCCTCTGGCCCACAGTGGGACAAAAACCAGGGAAAGTGCTGTCAAACCCTGGCTTCTCCAAAATTAAACGCTGGAGAGCCAACTTCTCCAAACAACACAATCACTGTCCTTGGGATATCCTGTACCGTGGCACCTGGGAGAAACTACAGTGGTACAGGGTATGTCCCATGATCAGGGAAGGCATGTGGGATCTCTCCTACATACAGCACCCAAGCAGGGAAGCAGTTAGGGATCTAACTCCTGGCTGGAGGAGACCTAAATGCTGAGCTCTCCAAATGTGCCACCTTGTGACACCACACACCAACCTGGGAAAACCTCCCAGGGCGTCAGATGGCACCTACACTTTTTTTTTTAAAGGGACAGAAACCAACCGAAGCCTGGATATGGCACGGCTCTTAATCCCCAGCACTATGCCTAAATCAGACCTTCGGGGAGAAGAATCGGGGAATAGGATCGAGGAGGGGGATCCGCCATCCCCCTCGCAGTGTTACAGAACCGCTACGACCACGCAGGGAGAACTCGCTCCATCCTGCTCCTCCCCGACCCCCGGCTTCGACAGCCGAGCGCTCCCAGTCCCGCCAGCACCTTCCCCACCCCTGCCTCCCTTGGAACCACGGCACCAGGACTCCCGGCTCGGCCGAGGGAGGCAGTTTCCCCACACTTGCCGAACTCTGTTTATAAACAGCCGGACAACCGGAGCTCAGCGCGCCGGCCCCGCCGCGGGGGAGGGGGCACTCCCGGCCCGCCGGGCCACCCCAGCCCGCCCCCGCCGGGGCAGCACGGGAGGCGGGAGGGAGGGACGGTCCCCGGGGAGCTGTCAGCCGGCACCCGCCGCCCCCTCCTCAACTTCCCGACGCGGCCTCCCGGGGCCCGGCAAGGGGAGACCCGCCCGCGCCCGCTCCCGCCCGGCCGCGCTCCGCGGCCCCGCACGAACTCGGGGGTCGCCGGTGACCCCGCGGTGCTCACCAGGTCTCTCCTGCGCCTTTGTCCTCTTCTACCGCCGGCACGGGGGGGGGAACAGAACAGACGGTGGAGGAGGAATCCCCCGGTCAGCAGCGATCGCGCCCCGGCCCCGCCGCGCCCCCGGCCCCGTGCTCACCAGGTCTCTCCTGCGCCTTTGTCCTCTTCTACCGCCGGCACGGGGGGGGGAACAGAACAGACGGTGGAGGAGGAATCCCCCGGTCAGCAGCGATCGCGCCCCGGCCCCGCCGCGCCCCCGG